TTACTATCACTGCAAATCGAATGTTTATTAAATGATTAAATATGATTTAATATGCCCTTTGATCATATTGACTATATCTTAACGGATATATTTTGTCAACGTTTCAGAAAAAAACGATAAACCGATTAGAATGATTAAATTAAATCTAATTCGATAAATCTAATTAGAATGATTTATTGGCAAATTTTTTCGCAAACGTGGACGAAATGTTGCATGCGAATGTGTATGTACATTTAAATATACATTGTCAAAATATATTCGTTTTTATAAGTCATGTCAATATGATCAGAGGAGGGCATTGGCATTGTAACGTATAGGTATTAATTATTATTTTTGCGTTTTGATTAACTATTTACTCATATCACTTTTTCAAGAACAAAATGTATTCATAATACACTCGCATCGAGTAAAAAATCTTCTAAAACGTGACTAATAAATCTCTAAGGGTAAGAATACAAATCTGCATTAACTTTATAAACTGTACATACTCATTAATAGGTTGCCCGGCTAATATTTATCCTTTTAATTTAATAAACTCATCATGTAATATTTACGTACCGCATACACACCCATTAGTAGAACAAATATTTACACATGAGTGCTTTGTTTATAATCGTGTATTTAAATTAGCAATATAATAACCAACAATCATTAAAATATATATGTTAATTTAATTCGAGCGTTTGGCATATTATTTTGTAAACAATAACAATGTTAACGTTTTGCTCATAACTATTATTAGTTATATAAATTTAAGTTTCCATTGTGCTGCGATAAAAATAGATGTTCAATAACCAAAACATTTGGCTAATGACTATTTGATTAAATACATGAATAATGAGCTTGAATGTTATTGCAAACTGTTTAGATAATAATAGCACACCTTAAACAAACACTATATAATATACAGTGTATATAGTATTATAGATATACATACCTCTATAATATTGGGATTCATGTATTATAAAGTCCAGTTGGAAATCGATATTATTCCGCTGAGATACATTTATTCAAGCGAATAATTAATTTCAATTGAATTACTTTAATTGAATGTCGAGAAATATAAATCTAATGTGTTAAATATTAATTAAAGCCATATAATGGTTTTGACAATGTATTAATTGCTTAGGGGCAAACATGCTATTGACAAAAATAGCAAATTGTGTTTGCAGAGGTATAAAATTCGTAGAAAATTTTAAATGGAATTTAACGTACCACGTGCCTAACTATAAATACAAGTTCTGGTTATATTTCAAATATAAATAATAATCAAAAATTTGTTTAATTCGACAGGTCGAAGCCGAATTGACTGCTATGCGCCGCAACATAGATTCGCTGAGCCGGCACATTGATTGGGAAGAGAGACGTGGCAGATCGCTCAAAGCGCGCGGCGAAAGTTTACTCGGGGCGCCCTTAGAAAATGCGTAGCGGTAGGTGAAATTCCAAATCGGATATTCATTTCATTCGCATTACCATTTGTCAAGCGGAAAATTATACAGTTAAAACGATCACGGTTGATGATACTTTTAATTAAGTCCGCCATTTGAATAAGAATGAAAGGTAGATAATTCATTATAAATGATTTAGCTATAGGCTATATGTTCAACTACATTGTTAAATATATTTAACTAATATAGTCAACAAAATACATTGCTAGGTCCGCGATATTAATATTATTGATCTGCCATATATTAGCACAAACTCGATAACATTAATACCGTTCGAATTTTATATTAAGTTTATTTATCTTATATATAAAGATGAATCGCAAATTGTGTTGGTAAGCGCATAACTCAACAACGCCCTGGACCAATTTGGCCAATTCTTTTTTAAAATGTTTGTTGTCCTAGTAAGTCCCAGGATGGTTCTTACGGCGAGAAAAAATCGAATAATTTTCTAACTAAAACGTAGAATCAATTTGAGCTTTAATTTCTTTATAATGCGTAAATAAATAAGGTGAATTAGAGAATTTATTTCTATTAGAGGTAAACTGGTGGACAGGTAAATTGAAGGATATGTAAAATGGTAGAGAGAAGAACTGGTAGATAGACAAATATGTAGACAAATAAACAGGATAAAAGGTTAATTGATAGACATATAGAACGGGATGACAGGTAAATTTAGGCCGGTAAAATAGTAGATTGATAAACAAGTTGATAGATAAATCAGTAGACAAAGTGTTAAACAGCTTAATTGTTCAACAGGTAATTATTAAACATGTTAATTGGTAGACATTTAGAACGGATGACAAGTTAATTGGTAGACATTTAGAAGGGATGACAGGTAAATTGGAAAGCAGTTAATTTGGTTTAAGGTAAAATGGTGTATTGATAAACAGGTCGATAGGTAAATTGGTAGACAGGTAAATTGATAAACAGGTGAATGGTAGACAAGATAATTGGAAAAAAAGTAATTTGTTGGATTGCTGATGGTCAGGTAAATTGGAGGATATGTAAAATGGTAGACAGGATAACTGGTAGATAGCAAATAATAAGACGGATAAACATGTTGACAGTTAAATTGGTAGAACATGTGAAATCGGTTGATAGGTAAATAGGTTGACAGGTAAATTGGTAAGTCGGTAAAATGGTAGATTGATTAACAAGTTTATAGGTAAATTCGTAGACAAATTGTTGAATATGTAAATTGTTTGAACAGATAGTAGTAACGTTAAACTAAATGTAACAAATACACATCTTTGTTCAACTTTTTAATTTAAACTAAATCACGGCAAAGCGAGAACGGGTACAGCTAGTTTTCTTATAAAAGGCGTGTTTAATAAAGCTAAAATAGACCGCTATACACACAAAACTGATCAGGCAAAATGGTATTCAGATCATATTAACACCAGGTTTACGGAGTCCGTCAATATGGCAGAATTCAAATTTTGAAATGAGATGCCTAAAAAACTATATCATTTTTCTTAAATAATTTGTACCGTAAATTCATGACTTTAGTAATATAAGCTATATATACAATTATAATTTTGATAAACTTTTTAAACTTTGAAATACTGATGTGGGATACCTCTTTGTACGGAAACCCATCAAATTGACAGTGTACCTTATTTGTCTAACAATATTATATACCAAATTACTTTATTTGTAATATAATGCCTTCAAAAAGTAAATATAAAAGTAATGGAAGGGTGAGATGCAATGAAATTGGTTATATCATTAAAATGCTAAGAAAAAAGATCATCTCGTTACTCGAAACGCGCATTTTTAGGAATTTTTTAACGTGAGAAAAATCTCAAGATCCTATTTATAATACTGAACACCATAGTATCAAACCTTCTTAGACGATCAGTCGCATTATTATTAGATTTTTTTTGAGTTACGGTGAATTCCATTACTTGATATTGGTGTTAAGCTAAATATCGTTTAAAATTTATATTTTACTGTGCTTACATTAATTAGATAATATGTTCACTGTAATGAGTCGAATCCTATAACCAAAATCTATGAAATATATTATATTTTCGACATCAGGTTTTCGAAAAAGATGCAAAAACGTGCAATTATATTAGAAGCTGTAGTTTTTACATGCCTTGTATTAAAAATGCTTGCCAAAAACGCACAAAAGACATGCAAATAATATGTGAAAAAAAAATGTTTGAAAATTATGGTTATTATTTAGTTAATTTGACGGGATCCCGTATAGATAGATAATACTAAACGCACTTGAAGCGATTGCTAAATTGCATAATTTTATAATTTCTTTAACATTTCCTTTTGCAGATGATTAGAGATCTATTATAGAAATTAAAATTGATCTATAACAGATCTCTAAACTATATTACCAGAATGATAGGACTCATGGATGTAAAGAATTAAATATTCAATCAAACTAAGTATCCTTTGCCAAAAAATGCTAATGGTTCATTACCCAATTGAATCTCACAGACATATTAAGATTAATTGATTTTTACAGGTGGGTCCAGCATTAGCCACTCACGTCTGGGTCGAGGATTGCTACGAGGGTTGTGTTGCTCCTAATGATTCCAATCTGAGCACGATCGCCATGGCACGTGGAATAGAAGCCGAAATGCATGCCTTATGTCTGGTACTAGATGGGATGCCACTTAGATGTGTAGTCATGCTAGTGCAAGAGTAAGTTTGAATTTAATATAATATTTAATTCGAAATATGTAGCAAAATTACTGTAACAATATGTTTGTTTGAATGAATTTTATCTGTCTATCCAACTTTTAGCACAATGAAACTTCGTTTATATTATATTGAAAACGTTTATATTATATTGAAAATCCGATTCGCTATTTTATGTTTTTCGACGTTTCAAGCCATCTGAATCGAATGAGACCAAATTTGGAAAAACTATGTGCGTGGTGTGACAGATTTTTTGTCGTAAATTGACGTTTTCTCAAAAACGGCTGGACCGATTTCAAAAATTTAAAAGCCATTCGAGGTATCGCGATGAGGACTAGCGTTTATCAACTTTGCGCGACGATCAGCCAAGCCGTTTCTTTGCAAATAACAGAAAAGTGAAGAAAATTTTGACTACGTTTTAGCCCGCAGTCTGAATCGATTTTGAAATTTATAACCGTTTTAAAGATATTGGTTGGGATCGTGCTGATGAGTTCTGGTAGAGATCGGACCGGCCGTTTTCTTGTAGTGAAAGTGTTGAAAATTTTTTTTTCGACGATTTTATTATTATTTTTTGGAGGTAGATACCATAGTCTTCTAGACCCATACTAAAATATTACGCTCTACAACTCGTTTAGCTTTAAAAGCCATTCAAAAGCCAATTCAAAGTTGCAAAAATTAGTATCGTTTTATGCATTTGTCAAAATTAGACATTTCATCAACGTTTGCTCAAAAACGCCTGAACAGATTTCAGAAATTTTAAAATCTATTTGATGTGTCTCAATGAGGACTATCGCTTGTCAGTTATGTGCGACGATGCGTGATACGTGTGATATGTTGAGATGCATTTCATTTGACTTAGATTTTAGCAAAATTTAGTAAAGTCAATTGGACCTTTGTGCCCCGTCCTACCTTACAATACAATATTGACTATTGAATATATCTTATTCTATTAATATACAATATCGTAATACTTTAGATCCTCTTAAAACTTCTATATTAATGATGATTCTACTTGCATCCTACCACTTTTTACTTAAACTTCGTTAATTTTACATTAAGGGGCGCGGAGAGCAAGACAAAATGATGAAGCAGCGAAGGAGGCGTCCTCCAAAGTGAAAGTGATCGACTGTCTGCTGAAGTCAATCGAGCGCGGCCTGGAACCGGTGAAACCGTACGGCAGGCGCCGACTCAAGCCGAGAACTGTGCCGCCCGCGCCGGCCAAGACGCCACCGCCGCCCCCGAGGGAACTCACGCAGGCCAGTTTTAATTTATTATTTATTTATTTGCATGCGTTCTAGATTGCATGGTATTTATTTTATTTGACGTCATATTGGCATACAAGTTATTTTCTTACTTAATTATTATAAAAGAAACTTCGTACAGTGCCAGGTGAACATAATAATATATTATTTCGTCTATATGCCCGTTACTGAAATTCAGCAGGTACTATTGATCATATAATTGTACTTGCAATACGAATCTGAAAATTTAATTTTTTAAACGACGTTCTACTGTGCTTGATTAATTATACCAACTTTTTTAACACGCGTATAAGATATAAAATGTTTATTTAGGCTGTATACGAAATTTTGTAAAAGCTAGTTATAATATTCTATAAACGTATTTAAAAAAAAACCTTGATGATCAGGATATAATGTGCTTTAAACTTATTTAAACGATATACGCACAAATAGAATTCACTGACCGCAAATTTAAAAAAATGTTTCAAATTTTGGCATTAAATATATTTCTGGTTCAATATGACTCATCGAATTATATTACTGTTGATTCTGCAAAGTTTTTGCATAAAACAATCTATAAAAGGTTCACATAATTGCTGAATACACCAACTACGAATCAATTTCTTAATATTTTTTAAACCTATTTCGCCAAGTTTAATAAAAGTTAATCTCTTAGTTAATTAAAAGCGTTAGATTACTTACATACCAATTGTTATAACAATTAATATATCTATAGGTTCTATTTATTTTTTAAGAATTATTTTATGGCATTTATAGAAGTGAATCATAATTTACTTCTATAAATGCATAAAATAAATCTTAAAAATATATTCTGTAACGCATGGATTTTTCTGTATTACACAGAATTTGCACCACTTTATTCCTACTAAATTTTATTGCCATGTTTTTTATATTTAAAACTTGCACATTTGTGTAAATAATTTAGCTACGCACATTTGCACAATTTAGGAATCGCACTAGTAGAAAAATTAAATATGAGTAATAAAATACTTATATTAAAAAAAAAAACCTTTAGGACGAGAAAACGATGCTAACGTTCTTCACGGATTATTGTCCC